TGCCCCACACCTAGCCAAAACAAAATGGGGTTTGTCATATCTCACCTAGTACTTTCAAGTTTTGAAGGTGGTTTTCTGTTTGCTTTTGGTGTGTTGCACTGTGGTTTTAAAGTTTTAATTTTTGATGAAAATAATCAGAACTGGGTTATTTCACCTAGTATGGATTTTCACTCAGTTCTTGCATTTTGTTCTGAAAATTAATACTATGAATTGATACTATGAAAGTCACAGTATTGCTGTGATACTGTGAAACTATGAAAGTCATGCGAGGATATGGTGATACTGTGAAAACGTGAAAGTGTGTTTGTGTGGTATTGGTATGATAAGTCTTAGCGAAATAGGCCTATGAAAGAAAATCTTTTTAGGATTCCTCTAGTCTCACTAAGTCCTACTTATGGCGTAATATGAACCTTAAAGCTTTTAATCAGTTGGTGGGGTTCCCTCGTCAGTTCTTGTATTTTGTTCCGAAAATTAACATTGCCACCAGATCACCATAGTTGAAAACCTATGTTTGAAATCATTTTTACCGGTCCCGGTCCTAATAGAAGGGCAGTTCTGGTGCTTCGGGATAGAGCTCTGCCAGGCGCGAACTATGGATTTTGAAGATGTCGCTGGGATCCAGTTTTGTGAAGGACAGTTCGGACTATAAACCGATCGAAAAAGATCGACATATTTCTTATTTCTATGTCAGATCTGAGAGCTACGAGCTGGTTTTCGAAAGATCCTTCTGGAAAACCTATAGAGACCTCATGAAAAGTTTTCCTTCTGACATAGTTTGATGTGCACTGGACCTGGCGACAACCGTTTCTCAATATCTCAACGTCGTCCTGAGTTATTCGAAAAGGCGCATAGTATCTTATTTTTTGACTCCAATAGTAATTCTTTAAGTATAACAACATTTGGCAAAAACCCACCCTCGCAATATGGTTCTTTCATTGTTTACGTATCGATGTGTAAGTATGAAGAAGCATGCGTATAAAAAACTCCACTTTAAAACTATACACGTGCGGTGAAAAACTAACTTTCAAAACCGTTCTCTTTGCAGTCTTCGGCAAAAAAAATTCGAAAATCGTTTTCTGTTCAGTTCCGTTCTCTGTAGAGCGTAGAAATTTAATAAGGCGCCCCCTGTTCTCCATTCAGTCCAAACTCCGTTTTCCAATTTTAACGAAAGCATGAAAGTGTTAAATGCCACTAATAATATACTTTATTCAAACGATCAAAAAATTACAATTGGTGCTATGTAATTTAGAAAATCAAAATCATTCGAACAATCAAGATTGATTGATTATATATATGTCTTTAAAAAAGAGAATGTGTAATTCAACTATTTTATATAAAACGATCAAAAAAGAATGATGGCTGTTGACAATAAGGTACGCTTTGGATTCTATACATTAAACAGTAATAGAAATTCAAGTCGGAAAGTCAAAATTTTGAAAACTTCCACTTATCAAAATCCATTTCTTTCATAAACCTTAAATTTTCACTCATGAGTAATTAAAATTTCATTAAAATTTGACACATAAGTTCAGTGGAAAATAATAAGCATTCTTGACTATAATTCTAAGCATTGTAATATAATAAAATATATGTCATTTCATCACTTCAATATTATCCTGTTCTTTTTGACAAGAAAAAGAAGAAAGAAATAACATTTACTAACCGAAATGACAATATTTTTATAAAATGCAATCAATTTTGTCGCTACTGTAAATGGACGTGTTTTGAACCATGTTTCACGTACTGTGTACTCTTATTATGTACTCTTTTCTGGCATAGTATGACATAATTGTTGCATACTTATTATGTACTCTAAGTACATCTACTGGTTCTCAATGAACTTCGAGAACCATAGAATCGTTAGCCTTCACACTTTTAATGGATACTCTACAGACACTGCTTTTATTTTAAAGTAATATTCTTTTTTGTTCTGTTTAAAAGATTCCTCTCAGGAGATACAATTTAGTCCTTAGGGCGACAGTTTCACTGGATTGGTTTCCTTTTCTTGTTCGTTATGATTTCTTTAAATAAAAAGCTTAAATCGAACTACAGGAAAAATCCATAGAAGAAAAGATACGACCTTTTTACCGTAGGGTATTCCATGAGTGGTTTTCATAATTCAATGTAGAAATGATTACAATTTAAGCAGGTGTATTACAGGAAGTGAATAAACGTTTGTTATAATATCTTTCTTTTTTATATAAACTTTTTTATTTCAATGAAGAAATACAAAACAAATCGAGACGTTGTCACATTACAGTTATAATATCTTGTTCAATGTCTTATCAAGTATTCTTTGTCTTCATCATTACACATTCTATTCAATCAGAAATGTTCGAGTCTGATATTAAATTATTACCGTATGGTACGGCATTTCAACCGGCTAATCCTGTTGACCTGTTAAGTGTAACAAATATAAAAACATTAATGCGTTGTGCAGCATTGTGTAATCGAAATTCATCATGTCGTACTTTTGATTATAATTCGTATTCGATGCAATGCCGATTATTTCAGGGCGAATTGTCATCAGGCACATTAAATTCGTCAACATTATTAAAATCCAGAATAGGTGCGATAAATTATCGCCCACAACTATATTCTCTATTTAATCACACATGTGTTGAAGGGCAAATGAATCGTTATCTGTTATGCGTAAGTGGTACCGAACAATGTCCGTCTTATACATTCTGGAATGGTAGTATGTGTCTAAATCAGCTGTATAACGGTTCTATTTGTCATTCAAATAGCTCGTGTAGATTGGACTTAAATCTGACGTATCAATGGAATCAATGTGGAGGTAAGTTATGTCATTGCGATTTCATACGGAAATGGTGTTTCTTTTCTTTTCTGAAATCCCTACGACATTTTAACAGCACGTTAACAGCTGACGCTCAGCAGTTCTACAAAACTGGACCAGTATTCATACCACACTATGGCATGGGTAACTGTTCCTAGTAATAAATAGTGTCATTTTGAAGAACAAAGTTGAGCAAGCTGCCGGAAATGCAAACTTGCAGCGAAATTTATTTTTCGTCTTTTTACACATGATTGGACAGAGCTCGTCGAGCTGATGAAGGATTTGTGTTTGTTAATCTATTTGGAATGTTTCTTATGGGAAAATTTTTCAACTTTTTCAGTAGATTTTCTTATTTTTTTAGAGCTTTTTCAGATTCTTTCTGATTCTTCACATAAAGTCGAAGAACGTTTCAAGGTTTTGTTTCGTTGCTTGAGAGAAGCTATTTTTACTAAAAGGGATCCGTTCTTCTATCAGAATTCGGATTTTTTAAAAGTCTGAAGTCTAAAACGTAAACTTCTTTCACCGGAAACAATCCTGATGACAGAGAAATGATTCTGCATCGAAAGACGTTCCCGAAGTTTCAACAACTTTTTCCGACTGAGGTGTTCAAGTTTAAATCCGAAAGTATGTGCGTGTAGCGTTTCAAACCTAATAATTCAGCGCTGTAAGATTTCTCTTTGATGAAAGACTGTTTCTCCATCCATTTCTGGTGAAAAAAAAATATAGACTTTAGACTTTTAAAAAATCGGCATTAAACGGTTCTAATGAAGTGTAAAAGTGAGTCTTCTAGACTCATCAGGGAGTCGTCCCAAGCTGGTATAAGCTTTATTCTGTCGGAATACAAGCGGAAAAAAACTCCATCATAGTATTCTAACCACCCCAAGTTGCATATCGCTTTTTCGACGCAACTAAGGAATATGGGTAATCGATGGTGTTGATTCCGAACATAATGGGCGCAGATGCCCTTAGCCTCTCTGAGACGGGATTTTCAGCATTGCTATAGAAAGAATAGGAAGAAAAAAGTAAATAGGTAGATAAGGCAGAAAACAAAGAAAACGTAGGATCATACACGAGCCTCAAAATAACTATATATTTCGAACTGTTAATCTAATCGCACTGTTGAGAAAGCTAAAGAAGATAACCGTAAGTTTATTAATTTTTCAATTATTTTACCTTCTTCATGAGTAACGTTCAAAATGCTAGTGTCTAAGATCCATTGGGCGTGCTAGGACGTTGCTTCGTTTTTAAGGTGACTGCAGCATTTACCATTTGCCGAATGGAAAAACTTATCCTCTTCTTTTCGTATAACGACTGTAGAAAAATCTTATTGAATGATCTGAAGATAAGCTAAACTTCAAAACAAGGTAGAAAGTCAGTTGTACTCGTATTAAACAAAGGGATGCATAGCATACGTGTAGACTCTGACTGAAGATAGAAGTAACTAAACTGCTCTTTTAGTGCGTATATCTATGGCAAGTTCTTCAGCCAACAGACAAGCACCTGTCAATATGGCTGCTTTAAATTAAAATATTGTTTATTGGAATCCTTTTGAAAACGGTCAAAAATCGGCTTGTTAATGATGTTGCTTCCTTATCACCGCTATATTTTGTCTTAGGTCGACAATTAAAAGGACAGAAAATGTTACGATAAAGAAAAATATTTTCTTAGGTTTTCAGGAAGACTCTGGCTCATCAGTCTTATCGCTGGACTGTGACTCCTCCTGTAGTAATAAATGGATCCGGAAAACCAGTGAATTGTTTTTTGTCAGGCAGAATTCGACTTATCAGGATGATGTTCGTACTATCTGAAACGTTTGAGTCGAAATGACGTTCTTCTATCGTTAATACTTTAGATCGTAGGTCTCGCTGTTTGAGTGCGAATTCCTTCCTTTCTATTCTAATGGCATCATGAGTTATGGTCAGTAGTAAACGCCATCACGTCATGTTATGACGTGTTCCATTGACGTCATGATGACCTGTTCTATCTGTTTTTCGTATGTTTAATTATACGTATGTGTTTTATATATAAGTTTATATTGGAGCGTAACACACTCTATCTATTCTTCTGTAAAAAATGAAATATGAATCCTGCCAATATAATACAATGTTTAACAGAATTAGTGAGTAAAAATCTTGATTGCAGACTGAAGCAGCACAAAATGAACCTGAACCAGCCAAAAGTTTAGCTAAAACAGTAACAGCACTTACTGATTGTCGGAATATGATAAAAAATTACATTGAACATAGATTATGATTCGAATGATCGTACGGACACAGAAGATCAAGGCGATAATGCTGAGGATGTGGTAGAAAAAGGTGATGGTGACTGAGAAAAAGAAAAAAATGATCAAGAACATGTACTATGCGATGTTTCAGTTAACTATATGAAACAAGTTGTAGCACTTGCGAATGAAACACATTCAGATGACAAACTTCGTCGATCATAGAAAACAATAAATCATTGTTTCGAAGCATTCCAAATCAAAGAAAAAGAAAAATTTTGGTAAACGTGTCTATAATCGTATACGTTTAGCTCAGATAAGCATAAACATGACCGAAAGAAATAATATTATTAAATTGCAAAAGTCTAATCCATAATCAGTTATCATCACCTCTTCTTAAACAAATGCTTCTGTATGCATAGTTTGCGTCTGAGTATTTGACAACACATCCCGGATTATTTCAAAATGTAAATGAAATATGTTTTCGATCATCAACACATCATCAAATTTTTCAGGCATATAAATGTGTCGAACTAGAATTTATTTAGTGTGCTTGGTGTACAAACGTTTTCTGCTTCAAACATTTTTTTACTGATTACCATTTCTAGTAATGTTACGAAAATGCTTTGAAAAATTGTTACACTTTTTCATAAAACGTATTCAAACAAAGAAAAAATATTGGTCTCCGATAAAGACAGTTTACTAAAGAAAATGGAAGTGAACAGGCGTATTGTAAGCAAAGACAGGGCGCACAGGAAAAAAACATCTTAATCATAAGTGATCTTAGCACTGTTAATAGTTGAGATAGAATTTTCTGGGTCTTCTGCTTTTCCACCTCCGATTTCTTCAGCTACAACAGATTTTTTCCAAAATGTTCATAACTCGGTCAGTAAACGAACGCCCAAGCATGAAAACGTAAGAGAAAAAATCTAGATACACTCGTTGGAGTATCACCCGATTCTCCAGCAAAGGTATCTAGATAAAAGAGTAAAAAATATCGGGTTAGCTGAATACAGTGGGTTTGACCCGATTACAATACCCGATGCGTCTAGTAAAAAATTATGCTTGATAGAAAACAATACGAACTAGATACATCTAGCGTACGACGCATCTAGCTGTTTATAAAAGAATTATTAGATACAAAAAGCGATATAATTAGTTTTAAATCGAGATGAAAAAAAAAAGAAACAGAACTCGTACAGAAATTCGAACTCTGTACCTAGAGATCAGTTGTCTACTTCTATATACGCCATTGTACCATATGAGCTTACACAAATACATATACGTTTTTCATTCTCTTTCTCGTTATGAATAAAAATAACTTACTAAATTTCAAATAACTAATTAACAATAATGAGAGTTTCTCATGCTAATGGAAGCATTTCTTGGGCTTGAGTCTGGAACACGATATGTTGAAAATTTAATGTTCTAAAATTTTTCTGCGGGTCTCTAGAAAGCCGACTTTCAGACCAAAGAACGATTTTTTTGTGTTTTTTATCCTGAACGGCTTGTCCACGTAACTCGAGACTCCACTGATTAAGTTTTTGAAAAAATTATTTTGGAGTAGAACTAAAAGGAGCATATCGCTAGATGCAGCTTTTAGTGCTGATTAAGAATCTCACATTATTTTATAAAAAGTTAAATTTTGGCACCAAAAATTCAGTTTTACATTTTTTGAAAACTATATTTTCAGTTTCCTCACCTAGACACTTTTCCTAATAAAAATGGAAGCCCACACTAACCGATAGAGAATTTGATTCTCTATAAGATAGTATGTTTCTTTTGAAGTTTAGAGTCGAAACAAGCCTTTTAATAAACTTTTAAGTTTTAAGATTCTCACACATTTCTAAGAGAGTAAAAACATTTTTTCAGCTTTATTTTCACCTTAGTCTGTATTAGATGCCTAAAATTAAGTCCGATATGAACATGAAATCTTTTGAGCAATGTTTAGTACTCCAAACTTTGTTGGACAAAAAGTGTGTCACAGCGTCACGACGATAAAACACAATTATTGAGGAATGGAAAGCTGATTAGAAAGATTCTTTTTTAGCAATCAGTAGCTCGTTTACTCCTCTACAAACTTTGCTCCAGGCGCTTTTTATTAGCTCTTCTAAATTCGCAGCAAATTAGCTTTTAATGAAAAGCACTTCAAATTTAGGGCCTTTTTTATCACAGCGTCACGCGCCGAAAAACGGTTCTGAAAATTCGAGTCTTTAACTACATACCTTCATCTTTATACTAAAAGTAGAGCATTGCGAACTGCGTCGAATGGCGCAAGAACGAAGTTTCTAGCATTTGCACTTTTTGAGAAAAGCTCAAATTACTGTGTCAAAAATGCCACAGCGTCACGCTTGGACAAACCGTGAAGATCTGGTTGTACAAAGCTGAGCCTGGCAGATAAAGCTTAGCAAATTACATTTGCTACACTTCCTGTCCCAAACTCAAGTTGGAGATGCGCTTTGTTTGTGGCAAAAAGTTAAAAAGTACCTTAAAAAGAGTGATTTTTCCGATTTTTCACTCTGAAGGAGATGTTTCCCAAAATTGAGTCTAGAAGATGAAATGTAACAAATTGAATTTCCTCTATTTTATTTGCCAGTCTCAGTTTTGTACAACTTGAACTTTACGGTGCACAACGGTAACTACTGTTTCTCCTCGTTTACAACAAGCCGACTTCTCACTAGCTGCATCTAGTTGGAAATCGCCTTACAACAGATGCATCGCCCAATTTCAATGATAGGATGGAAAGGAACTGACTATCGATCGATATATCTACAATCCGAACAACCGGACTTACGAACATTCAGAAATTTTTGTATAAAAATACCGCTAAAAAGCCTTGACTCACGCCGTTCCGACCACCCGGACGACTTTCATTCCCAACATCCGCCTTTGTTTTGGTTATCGTTCCGAACATCCGATCTTTTTCCATTCCTGTCTTCAGGACTTTTCATTCCGAACATTCAGACTTTTTCAAAAAAACGGGAGTTGGGACCGAACTGCTCTGTCAGATGTCCGTAAGAAAAAGCAAGGACGAAAACGGACGCAAGCTATTTTCACTACTGTTAGTTTCAAAATCCGATGTCGGTCTTACTTTTTTGAATAACTTTTGATAGAAATGAGATAGAGACCTGCGGTTTTCGCTGTTCGATAGCTAAAACTTGAGCAGAACTTTTCACAAGCAAAAACAACTTTTGAAAAAATTTTAAAGATCGTGTTTCCAGAGGATCCTTGGAAAACCAGCTCTGTTCTCAAGAAAACTAGCATACAATGTTAGTAATTTCTTTGCATGTGACTATCTCGTCCGGACGTTACTCTACTAAATTATGCAAGTCCCGGATCTCCAACTATCGTCGTTCGACCAGGACTCGCTTTCCCCGAGCACATGTCTATCTCCGAGCAGACATCTCTGAGAATCTCGAAATGTCATGGAATATAGGTAATCGACTACGCTGAGCATAGTAGCAACATTTGTTTTCCTGTCGACATGAATATAACTTCGCCAGAGGCATTTTTGTGATAAACCGGTTTTTCGTCTGTTACTAGCAAAAATTAGAATCTTTATATCTCGATCAAAACTCATGCTGACTCAAGGAACCTTTCAGGAAACGCTCAGGACAACTCATAAAGCATAACCGAAAACGTAAAAGGTGAATTTCAGCTGGGCATTCCTTTAAGGTTTTCCAGATACCTTCTAAACAATCTCAACACATCGGTGGTCTGCTGAACCACTTTTTTGGCGTGATTAACAATATATGGCACCTTTTACGTCTTTCCTGAAAGGTTCCTTGAGTCAGCATGAGTTTTGATCGAGATATAAAGATTCTAATTTTTGCTAGTAACAGACGAAAAACCGGTTT